TTACTGCTACTCTGAGAGGCTTCTATCCATAGCCTGAAGAGAATGAGCATAGCTCTTAAATAGGTCACCGCCCGTCCTGAAGATGTGATATATTACATGGAAATGGATGTAAATAAAATTGTTATCCCATTAAACTGTTGTTTCATTTTATTTTGGGGGCTTTAAACAAATCTAGAATCAAATTAAGTGAAGTCTGAAGTAAATCCAGATAAATGAACCTGAAACACTGCTTTTTATAGCCCCATTCCTCACCTGGCCTGAGGCTTTCCCCTGGTGACCACGACCTGTCAGAGGAAGACCCCCGAAGGAGAATATACCAGTGGTGAAAAGTTTCTAGCAATAATTAGGTTTAAAGGAAACCTCAACTGCTTTCTACCGCCTATCATGTTACACAGTCTCAGAGAATTTGGTTGCCTCTAAGTATATTTTGACACAGTAAACACTTGTATGTGCCTCCAAATTACTCCGTACTTTAAAGAGACCAAGGAAGAACTTGAGAATCTTATTAAAAATATCTGCTTCTGGAGGGTGTGTTTTGGTCAGCTGTGTCTTCTACATCTGCTTTTACATGTCTGTCTACCTAGAATCATGGTGTCTGGAGTAAGTTCACATCCTTAGCCATCAGATACTAAGTTCTATGTAGTGTGGTAGGAAAGTAAATATATTTGAGAATGACCTTAATTAAACGTTTTTCTGGCTCTTTACTACAATATTAGCTTATAAAATCTATAACATAAACATAGAGGATTAAGAGCAATAAGGAGATTCTTTGGTTAGATCACTGGTTTTCAAACTTAAGTGTGTATTGGATTTTCTCTTGGGGGGAGGGGACTGTTAAAACAGATTGCTAGTCTCATCCCCCAGAGTGTCTGATTCAACAGGTCCGGGGTGGGACTGAAAAATCTGCATTTCCAGTAAATTCCTGGGTGATGCTGATGGTCCAGGAACCACACTTTGAGGTAAAACCACTGGGTTAGGTAAATGCTATCTTTACACTTAGTATACAAGTGGATTTTAGATCTGGCTGCATATTACAATTACCTGAGAAGCTTTCCCAAAAATGCTGGTATCTGCCTCCACTACCAGAAATTCTGACAATCTACTGTGATACCCAGGCACCAGTATGCTTTTAAAACTAGGGTGATTCTGGGGCGCCTGCGTGGCTCAGTCAGTTAAGCGGCTGCCTTTGGCTCAGGTCATGATCCCAGGGTCCTGGGATCAAGCCCCGCATCGGGCTCCCTGCTCAGTGGGAAGCCTGCTTCTCCCTCTCCCTCTGCCCCTGTTTGTGTTCCCTCTCTCGCTGTCAGATAAATAAATAAAATCTTAAAAAACAACTCTAGGGTGATTCTAATATGTATCTAGGGTTGAGAAAATAGAAACTACTAGTGAGGTCAAGAAGCCCAAAGTCTGGAGAGAGTTTGTCTTAGCTCATTAGTTCACCAGGGGTGCGTTCCCTAATGCCGCAGTAACACCTTGCCACAAATGTAGTGGCTCAAACAGTGTAAATTGAGTAGCTTACAGTTCTGGAGATAGACATCCCAAATGGGTGTGCAGGGCTGCATTCCTCCCGGAGACCGTAGGGGAGAATCCTTTTCCTTAATTCTTTCAGCTGGAAGCCGCTTGCATTCATTGGTCTGTGGCCCTTTAGTCCTCCAACTCCGCTTCCCTTTCAGAGGTTCCTTTTGATGACATTGGGTCCACCTGGATAATCCAGGCTACTCTCTCCAGCTGAAGATACTTAATCACATCTGCAAGGCCTTTTGCCATGTAGGGTAATATTCACAAGGGTTTTTTTTGGGCGGGGGGCACATTATTATGTTACCACACCTCATCTCTTTGGTATAGAAATTTCGTTATAAAGTCACCCCCAATATCAAAATAACTGCAAAGAGCACTCTTAATGTTGGGAGGGAACTAAAAAGAAGGAATGGTGAAAAAATACCTTATCTTCTTCCAAATGAAAGACCGGCAGTTTGTCCTTCGGAGATAATAAGATCTTTAGAGTGGAGAGGACACAGGTGGAGTTGAGGGAGGGAAGTTGTATTAAAATCAGGACTGAGGGGCGCCTGCGTGGCTCAGTCAGTTAAGCGTCTGCCTTCAGCTCAGGTCGTGATTCCAGGGTCCTGGGATCGAGTTCCCCATCGGGCTCCTTGCTCAGCGGAGAGCCTGCTTCTCCCTCTCTCTTTCCTCCCATGTGCTCTCTCACTATCTCTGTCTCTCTCTCTCAAATAAAGTCTTTAAAAATAAAAAAGCAAAACAGGATTGAGTGACTCAACGCTGAGACCCATTTCTCTCACGCCACCTTCCCCCCTGGGCTCCTAGACCTTTATCCTCCTGGAATCTTGTTGAACTCCTCTCTAGGGAACAGATCAGCCTAAAACATTTCTGATCTTGGAAATCTCCCCTAAAAGGATATTTGAGCCAGATATCCCTTTAGTGAAACAGTCTGCAAGCCCTTCTTAAGTGCCTAGAACTTCCAATCAACTTTTATGGGTTTTTTTTACTCTTAAAAAGCCATCAATCTAAGGAAAGCCACGTAACATATCAGGGATCAAAATAAAAACAAACCAAAAAGGAAATTGGAAGCAAAAAAAATATAAACCATATCCCCTGAGAAATAAGAATGACACTTATGAATTAAGAACAGAATGCAGGGTGCCTGGGTGGCTCAGTCGGTTGAGTGTCTCTTGGTTTTGACTCAGGTCATGATCTCAGGGTTGTGGGATTGAGCCCCGTGTTGGCTCTGTGCTCGGTGTGTGGAGTCGGCTTGAGAGATTCTCTCTGTCTCCCTCCACCTCAGCTTCCCCCCCAGCTCGTGTTCTCTCTCAAATACATAAATAAAAGTCTTAAAAAAAAAAAGAATGGTAGAAAAAGGAAATATTCAGATGACAAGAGAGCTTGGAGAAGTTGAAAATACAAGAAAAATGAAAAGTTCAACAGAGGGTTTGGAAGACAGAGCTAAGGAATTCGAAATAGAACATAAAGGCAAAGAAACAGAAATAAGAGGAAAAGAAGATGAGAAAACTTGAGAACCAGTCCAGCACATCCAATATCCAAATAAGGAGTTCCAAGTTCAGAAAGGGTAGAAAAACCATCGATGAAATTTTCAAGAAAATTCCCAGAACAGAAGAACACAAGTTTCCAAATTGAAAGGGCCCATTAGGTACCCAGCACAACAGACAAAAAAGGGCCCACACAAAGCACACTATTGTGATATTTTAGAATTCTGAGATGTGGTGAGTTTCAACAAGAAAATTGTGGGTGACAAAGGATCATGAACTGGGGCTCCTGGGTGGCTCAGTCGGTTAAGCGTCTGCCTTCGGCTCAGGTCATGATCCCGGGGTCCTGGGACTGAGCCCCACATAGGGGTCCCTGCTCAGCGGGGAATCTGCTTCTCCTTCTGCCCTTCCTCCCCGCTTGTGCTCTCATGCTGTCTTTCTCAAATAAACTAAAAAAACAAAAACAAAAAAACACATGAACTACCATGGCTTGGACTTCCCTGCAGCTATAACATTAGTCAGAGGACCATGTATACAGTGTACCTGTGCACGAGGCCTAAAGGGTTATAAGTAGAGAAGGTAAAAGGCTCCAGAAGAGACTTCTTTAAAAAGATGACATTAAACTATCTGATGTGAACAAACTTACTTATGTACTTACATACATACTTACTTAGCTCCATGCCCAGCACAGAGCCCAACATGGGGCTTGAACTCAAGACCCTGAAATCAAGACCTGCACTGAAATCAAGAGTCAGATGCCCAATGGACTGAGCCACCCAGGCACCCTTGAACAAACTTATTTTATTTTTTTTAAAGATTTTATTTATTTATTTGAGAGAGGATGAGAGATAGCACGAGAGGGAAGAGGGTCAGAGGGAGAAGCAGACTCCCCGCTGAGCAGGGAGCCCGACGTGGGACTCGATCCCGGGACTCCAGGATCATGACCTGAGCCGAAGGCAGTCGCTCAACCAACTGAGCCACCCAGGCGCCCCGAACAAACTTCTTTTAAAGATTTATTTTAGAGAGAGGGCACAAGAGGGAGGGGCAGAGGGAGAGTGAGATCTCAAGCAGACTCCATGCTGAGTGCACAGCCTGACTCTGGGCTTGATCCCACAACCCTGAGATCATGACCTGAGCTGAGATCAAGAGTGAGATGCTTAACCGACTGCACTACCCAGATGCCCCAAAACAAACTTTTTGAAAGGACATTTTGACAACTGATAATTTGTGGTTGAGTTAGTGATATTCAAAACCCTAAGCAAATAAAAAAAAATTAGCTCTGAGGAACACACAAATCCAGAAAACAAAAATAACAATAACATAATTCAGTGTTTCTCACTTTAATATGCCTAAGAATACCTTGGGGATCTTTTACATTCTGGGCTGGGCCAGAGTTTCTGCATTTTTCAGAAGCTCCCAGGGGAGACCAGTGCTGCTAGACCCCTGACCACACTTTTGGGTAGCAAAATACATGGTTCAGCTATGAATGAAATATAGGATAGTAAACTATGAATAGTGATTAAAATCAAGAAATATATTGGTAGGAGGGAGGACGGGAAGCATATGTTGGGGGTAAAGGAAGGAAAACTAAATCGTCCTCTTCTACAGATTAAAGTTAATGCTTAAAACTGAAACTGTTGGGCGCCTGGGTGGCTCAGTTGGTTAAGCAACTGCCTTCGGCTCAGGTCATGATCCTGGAGTCCCAGGATCGAGTCCCGCATCGGGCTCCCTGCTCAGCGGGGAGTCTGCTTCTCCCTCTGGCCCTCTTCCCTCTCGTGCTCTCTCTCTCATTCTCTCTCTCAAATAAGTAAATAAAATCTTTAAAAAAATAAAAAATAAAAAACAAAACAAAAACCAACAAAAAAAGGTTTAAAAAAACTGAAACTATTAAAACTAGCTAGCTCTTTAAATTATATGTAACACTGATAATAATAAAGTCCTTAAAAAGGGGGCAAAGGATGTAAACAGCAATCACTGAAATAAATACAAATTGCACTTCAACATATGAATAAGTGCTCAGTCTTGCTCACTAGAAAAGATTCTATTTTCTACTTGATTGACAAAGAAAGGTTCAGTTATGCACTGATTGCAACAATGTGAAGAAACAGCAATACAATGTTACAGCAAGAGTTCTGAAACCTTTTCTGACAATCTTTATTGCCCCATAACCAAAGTAATTTTAGACTCTGGTCATCTTTCTGTGACAAATTATTTAAGTTGACTGCCCCAATATCCAGTGTCAACTTTTGTCTTTGGCTGACTCTATTCTCATTACTGAGAAAGCTATATAGTCACTTTCCTAGCCTCTCATGTAGCTGAAAATGGACATGAGCCACAGTACTCGAAAAGGAGACTTAAATGAAAGTTGGCTGGGAGGGATTTTGAGAAATCTTGAGCTTTCCTTTTTTTTTCTTTTAAAGATTTTATTTACTTGACAGAGAGAGACACAGCGACAGAGGGAACACAAGCAGGGGGAGTGGGAGAGAAGCAGGCTTCCCGCGGAGCAAGAAGCCCGATGTGGGGCTCTATCCCAGGACCCTGGGATCATGACCCGAGCCAAAGGCAGACACTTAACGACTGAGCCACCCAGGTGCCCCTTGAGCTTTCCTTTTAAGGGGGGACAGAAGTGGCTGGCACAGCTATCTCTTCATTCTACCCTGAACTCTGATGTGACATTCGATGTTCTATCAGCCCTTTTATAAGCTTCAGACAATCCCAGAGGTGTTAGAAACCATGGATAGTGGAATGGAAAGATAAAAAAGAAGAGTGTCACTGAGCAGCTGAACTAACACCTGTAATAACTTTTGGAGTTCATGTTAAAGGAAAAAAATTATTCCTGGTTAAGTTCCTCATTGTTTTGTTACACACATTCCTAACCGATACATTTTCCCAGAGGGTTGCTCTGAATCTTGTTTTGCATATGCTGCCCCAATATTTACTTATAAGTCAAATATATAAACTGCTATACCATTATGTTCACTCTAGGACATGTTAACAGAAATTATTAGAGAAAAAAGTGAAGATTCTAATACTTCTTTCTGCACATCCATGGATCATCTTCATACAGCTTCGGTGTTTTAAGTCCACTTAAAGCTCTGAAATGCTGGGTTCACTTATTTTGTAATCAAGTGGAATTTATCTCAAGTAATAAAAACTTAAAGAAAATGGGATTTACTAGAAGGATATAAAGCACAGTTGATAGAATTCACAGAAGACCCAAACCAGGCCACAAGAACAGGACTTGGATAACTCAAATTTGCAGACCATTGTATGTCTTAGCTCCCAGCATCTTTACGTCTGTGCTTCTGTTCCAGATTTGTCCCAAGAAATAAACCATTGGCCTGGCTTGGGTCAACATTGTGGTCAAGAGGCAGTCCTGTAATAACCCTTCCAGAAGCATATGGAGTCAGAGAAGGCAGTTCCCCAAATGATGCTCAGTAGACAAAAATAAATGGCTGGATAGGGATTCTCTTAAATCTTACACAAAACTACCACTTTCAGAAACAGTGCTTTGGAATAAAGTCAGAATCTTCAATCTAATTTAGTTTTTTGTTTTTTTTTTTAAAGATTTTTATTTATTTGAGAGAGAGAGAATGAGAGATAGCACGAGAGGGAAGAGGGTCAGAGGGAGAAGCAGACTCCCTGCCGAGCAGGGAGCCCGATGCGGGACTCGATCCCAGGACTCCAGGATCATGACCTGAGCCGAAGGCAGTCGCTTAACCGACTGAGCCACCCAGGTGCCCTCTAATTTAGTTTCTTGAAAAAAAGTACATCTCAAGGTGTCAAAGCATGGGTGATTTTATTTATTTTTTAAGCTTTTATTTATTTATTTGACAGAGAGAGAGCACAAGTAGAGCGGCAGGCAGAGAGAGAGGGAGAAGCAGGCTTCCTGCTGAGCAGGGAGCCCGACGCGGGGCCCGATCCCAGGACCCTGGGATCATGACCCGAGCCGAAGGCAGACGCTCAAATGACTGAGCCACCCAGGTGCCCCAAGCATGGGTAATTTTAGAACTCCAATTAAAATAATGCTCTTAAGCCTACAAAATAAGCAAATCTAAAGCTTAACGTCCAGGACTTTCCATACATCAAAAAACTAGTAATTGAACAATTACAATAATTGATTAAAATAATATGATCTATAGATGTCCAAGAGGATTTAACTATTTTCTTCTAGTTTTAAGCTCACACTAAGCTTCCACTACCCATTTTATTCACTTAAATTATCTCCTCTGCTAGCATTACTTAGTTCATAAGAAAAGGAGCAAAAGCCACAAAAGTCAAATTTTATTTCATTAACTTAAATGCTGAAGAAAATGTGTATTTCAAATCTTTAATTAAACTCATTTATCTGAAACATATTTACACACAGGACAGATAGAGGATTTCAAGTAACTTATGGTAGAGTCCACTGTCCATTTAAAAATATGCTTCTTTCTTCCACAAAAACTCTGTGTTGAAAGGCAAAAAAATTTTCTTTTATACTACATAAAAGCTAGATGCAAACTTCTGATGTATATTTACTTCACTGTCAACTCTGATGCTGAAGATGGGAGGCAGAGATGTCCATAGTTCGGTTAAATGATGCAAATAATAAGCTTCCGTTTCTCTGAGATATAAATTAGAAGCCTTCATTCTCTATCACAGTAGTACCAGACTTGATTGACTCTCACATCCGGTCACTTCTTCTTCTTTCCTTTCCCTTTTTTACTTCCTTCTCCTTGCTGAAGACTTTGGTCACCACCTCCTGTTTTTTGTGTCCTTGTTTTTAGTTTGGGTATCATTTCTGCTACATACAACATTACTGACTTACCTAGGAACAAGAAGTTAGGCTTAGTGTATAATCTAAGGAATAAGACAGACAAGCTCATTAACTTGAAAATCACATCAGGAAAATGACAAGGATTAAAAAAAAAAAAAACCCAAAAAAACACTACGAAGACATGACTTACTCAAGTGGGAGCTTTCCTGGAGAAAATGTGCTAAGAACAATACTGAAATATTTAACTGAACAAAATCAAAACTTAAAACACTTTATTTGAAACATAAATTTTGGTCCTGGTTCTGTAATTGACCTGAAGATCAAAGGAGAGTAAGTCTAAATACAACAATCTGGAAACAGAGTCAGGATATCATTGTATCTTAAGCTAAAGAAACACAGGGCCGCTCAATCTTAAAACAAAAAACCAATGTTATCAAGCTACAAAAGATGTTACTCATATGCCCAGATGATTTAATGTGTACAGGTACCCTGCTCTGTGCACTAACTACCTCCTCCAGATCTAGTAGCTACTTTCAACACACGGAGCCCCTCAGTTTTTCCCTTTTTACTTTCTTACTTTTTTCTTATTGGAAACTGGGAGCAACATTTTTTTTTTAAAGATTTTATTTATTTATTTGACAGAGAGAGACACAGTGAGAGAGGGAACACAAGCAGGGGCAGTGGGAGAGGGAGAAGCAGGCTTCCCGCGGAGCAAGGAGCCTGATGTGGGACTTGATCCCAGAGCCCTGGGATCATGATCTGAGCCGAAGACAGATGCTTAACGACTGAGCCACCCAGGCGCCTGGGAGCAACATTTTTCAACTGTAATTTTTACTTAGTTTATTTACTGGTCAAGTTAAAAGTTTTTTGTCTCTTGATTTTTTTTTGTCTTTTGGCTTTTTTTTTTGAGATTTTATTTATTTATTTGAGATAGAGAGTGAGAGAGCGAGAGTGAGCACAAGTGGGAGAGAGGGGCAGAGGGAGAGAGAGAAGCAGACTCCCCCCTAACCAGGAAGCCTGAGACAGGGATCGATCCCAGGATCCTAGGATCATGACCTAAGCTAAAGGAAGATGCTTAACCAACTGAGCCATCCAGGTTCCAAGTCTTTTGACTTTTAAGAAATAGTAAAGGAAGATGTCCAAGAGAAGAAATACACTGTAACATACTACCTGTTACTCCAGAGTCAAAATCTTGTTTCTAGAAATATCTACCAATCTGGACAGGTTTTAGCATAGAAAAACCAATCTAGGGATGCCTGGGTGGTTCAGTCAGTTAAGCGTCTGCCTTCGGCTCAGGTCATGATCCCAGGGTACTGGGATCGAGTCCCACACCAGGCTCCTTGCTCAGCTGGGAGCCTGCTTCTCCCTCTGCCTGCTGTTCCCCCTGCTTGTGCTCTCTCACTCTGACATAATGAATAAATAAAATCTTAAAAAAAAAAAAGAAAAACCAATGTATTTTAATTTAGGGGACACTGGGTGGCTGTTGGTTGAGTGTGTGCCTTGGCTCAGGTCACGATCTCAGGGTCCTGGGATTGAGCCCCGCATTGGGCTCCCTGCTCAGCGGGAAGCCTGCTTCTCCCTCTGCCTGCCATTCCCCCTGCTTGTGCTCTCTCTCTCTTTCTGACAAATAAATAAATAAAAACCATCTAGTTGTCAGCTTGAGATTATTGTGACAAGAGAAATTAACAGTTCCATTTAAAAAATTATAGTTTTTAGAAATAAAGAATTTAGAAAAGAATCATGTGCAAAAAAAATGCATATTCCCCAACCCAGAATTATTTTGCAATACTGATATTTGATTACTGTTGTTTTTTTAAGAAATAAAACACTAGAGATAATGTTAGTCTTCTCTGACCACCATTCCTGTGTCCCCACTCCCCACCCCCTGCTCATCATTAGGTTACCTACTATTTTAAGACTGGGATTTTCTTCAGTCCATCAAATAAAATTTACATATGTAATATTAATAAACAATATTACATATACATCAATAAACAGTAACATTTTGTATTTAAATGTACCAAAGTGGTACCACACTATGCATTTCTTTTGCTGTTTTCACTCAGTATGGCTTTTAGATTAATGATAGAAATTATTAACAGGCTTCAAAGGCCTCTAGGATCTGAAATGGCAATTAACATCTGACCACTCAATAATTCTACACTCTTAACCTGAGAATAATGACAGACTTCCAGAGGTTTATAAGAAATTCACAAACAAATTTTTTGGAGAAGTGATTAGGCTGCATCACATTCTCAGAGGTCCCTAGCTTAAAAGACGTGAGAACCACTGTTTTCCTCTCTTCCTCAGCAGTAGTCCTTTCCTAAATTCATCTGCAGAATGCAAATTATCATTTTTACCTTTCAAAGGGGTCGGTTTTAGAATGTTTTTTGCAGAGTAAAGGAATACCCTGTTGCCAAACTTTATTTGTTCATTTTTTTAAAAAGCTTACGTGATGGGAACTGTACGAGACAGAGGCTGCCATCTTCCTGTTTGAGCTGGACCCGGACTCTGCCCCTGTACTGAACATCACGATTCCACTCTCTAGAGTACATTTTATTTTTCTAACACAAAAAACAAAAAAAACACACACAAAAAAACAGGCTTTAAAAAGTTGTTACATCAATGAGATTGAGTAGGAAAAACAGTGAAGAAAGAACCACCTCTTACCTCAAGGAATACATTAAGTCCAACTGCTGAGCACACATCTTGAATCTCAGTAGCTGTAGGATTTTCAACAGCCTGAACAGTTAAAAACAAAAACACTAAACAGCTTACCTTCAGCGGATACTACTATATTGTTGTGTATATCATTTCAAATATGAGGATGACAACAGTTATCAAAACCTTAGATTTCCTTTGTCACTAGGTATGGTTGTTTCCCCTGTAATTTTTAAAAGTACAGGGAAAACACTGATTCATACTTATGTGTCCATCTCCCTTTCAACAGAACATACACTTCACAAAGGCAGGGACTGTTCTGTTTATCTGTATATTCCCAAGTATCTGGAATGATGCTTGGAACATAGTAGGTGCTCAATGAATACTGACTAAACAACTATTATAGATACAACCACTTTAGAAAATTGTTTGGTAGTATCCACTAAAGCTAAACATATGCATTCTTTATGGTTCTGCAATTCCACTTCTACGTACATATCCAAGAACAATGCAAAAATATGTTTCCTATGGGGCACCTGGGTGGCTCGGTCATTAAGTGACTGCCTTCGGCTCAGGTCATGATCCCAGGGTCCTGGGATAGAGCCCCGTGTCGGGCTCCCTCCTCAGCGGGGAGTCTACTTCTCCCTCTCCCACTCCCCCTGCTTGTGTTCCCTCTCTCACTGTCTTTCTGTCAAATAAATAAATTAAAAAATCTTTAAAAAAAAATATGTTTCCTAGAAGAAAAACTCAAGAATGTTGACAGAATATATATAATAGCCTCAAACTAGGAACAACCCAATTATCCATAAACAGTAGGATGGACTGTGATATATTTATATAATTCAATACTACAGAGCAGTGGTTTTCAGCAAGGAAATTCTGCCCCATGACATTTAGCAATGTTAGGAGACATTTCTAATTGTCACAGGAGTCAGGTAAGGCACTGGTATCTCGTGGGTAGAGGCTAAAGATGCTGCTAAACAACCTAAAATGCACACACCAGCCCTGATAACAAAGAATTATCTAGCTCAAAATGTCAATGGTGCTGCTGTTCAGAAACCCTGCTACAGAGCAATGAGAATTAACAAACTATGCTAACAGATGTGAATAAATTAAAGCTTACAGTTCAGTGAAAAAAGACAGATACAAAAGTACATAGTGTATAATGCCTTTTAAATAAAGTTTAAAAACAAGCAAAAGTAATGTATTGCGTTGGAAGTCAGGATACGGTTATCCTTGTGTGTGAGTATGTGGTGGGGGAAGAAGTGACTGTGAGGAGACAAAGGAATCTTCCTGCCTGCTGATCGAGCTTTCTTTTTTAATTTGGTTGCTTGGTTACCCATGTGTACTCTTGTTTGTAAAAGTTAATCAAGATAGACACTTAAGACTTAAGTATATTTCTGTGTGTATGCTGTACACCAATAAAATTAGAAACAATTCAGTTATTCTCCAAATTATGTGAGCTTGCTACCAGAGGCCTCTGTCACAGTGGTTTGATGTCAGGCATTTTCCTGAATGAGGGCTTTGGTAGTCTCTTTCACCCTGGGACGGCAGAGGAGACTTTCCTTTAGATATATTTAAACACCAAAATGGGAGACATTAAATAACACAAAAATAATGCACTGCTTTAGGCCAAGTTACCTTGAATCTGTTGTTAAGATTACAAAATATAAGTAACTCTTAAAAAACAGAATATGACATCAATTTTGAAAATAAAAAGCTATAGGGGCACCTGGGTGGCTCAGTTGTTAAGCGTCTGCCTTTGGCTCAGGTCCTGGTCCCAGGGTCCTGGGATCAAGCCCTGCATCGGGCTCCCTGCTCTGGGGGAAGCCTGCTTCTCCCTCTCCCACTCCCCCTGCTTGTGTTCCCTCTTTCGCTATGTCTCTGTCACATAAATAAAATCTTAAAAATTAATAAATAAATAAAAAGCTACAAAGACCCTTCACTTGGCATTAGGCACTTTCCAAACAAGCCACCACGCCAACTGAGAACTTGAATTTTCCCAAACAGCACGAGGGAGAAATCATATTTTTTCAAACTATAACACCTACTTTTTAGAAGTATTAATTTTAAACTTTACCCCTCAAAAAAAAAAAAAAGATAATGGACATAAACTATAGAACTCAACACATCTAAATTCTCTGGAAGTCTTGGCACACCTGGGTGGTTCAGACTTTTTTTTTTTTTTAAGATTTTATTTATTCATGAGAGACAGATTGAGAGAGAGAGGCAGAGGGAGAGGAAGAAGCATGCGGAACTTGATCCCAGGACCCTGGGATCATGACCCGAACCAAAGACAAAAGCTCAACCGACTGAGCCACCCAGGCGCCCAAGAGTCGGACTCTCGATTTCAGCTCAGCTCAAGATCTCCGGGTGGTGGGATGCAGCCGTTCAATGGGGAGTCAGCTTGGGATTCTCTCTCTCTCTCTCTCCCTCTCCCCCCATCTCTGCCCCGCTCTTACTCTCTCTCAAATAAACAAATCTTAAAAAAAAATAAATTCTCAAGTCTTGTTTAATGACTCAACTCCATTCTGGAGTTGAATTATATAATATCATATAATGCCATAGTTTCATTTCCTTTATTAAGGGCAAGACTGTCATAACCTTGGTTTAAAAAACAACAGGCAAACCCTACCTTACCTTACTTATGGGGATTCGCCTCCCCTCCGCGATGGTCTTCTTGTTATTTAAATAAGCAGGATAGATACAAATGAACCTGCCACAGAAGGAAGCACAGCTAGTATCACTAGAGCAGTATTGCCAAAATTTCATTCATTCTTTCATCATCAGGATCGCCAGCGCGCCTATTACTTGCTTAATATTTTTTCTTTAAATTGCCTCCCTTGTACTTAACTTACTTAAAAAGCAAACTTTAGTTTACTACCCTAGATGGAAAATAACATCACTTACTAGAGAAGGTTTAAAACCAAACCAAAACAATGCCTTCACCGTTCATTTAGACATAGTGGGCTATCAAGTTCCTGTGGGTGGAGCCTGCTCTCAGAAACCCCGCCATCATAAGTATCAGACTTGGAAAAACCCAAACGTGCCTTTCTGAACGTAACAATGAAAAGAACACATTTCTCACTTTGTGAGTCTGTTATTTAATGTCCCGTCCACGTAGCACCCAAAGTCCTTTGTCTCAGGTGCAGGAAGAGTGAGCTATCTAGAGTCGGAATTTCGGGGACACTACGGAAAGCCTGGTGCTGCTGGCCACCCGGAGGAACCAACACCTGGGAAGAGGCCCGGAGCCTGGGGCCGGAGCCAAGCTCCACCCTCCAGCCTTTCTCAGGGATGGGGAGGGCGGCGCAGCACCCGTTCTCAGGACCCACCTGTCCTGATCGGCCGGGGACCGAGCGGCGGCACAAGCCATCTTCACCCAGGCCCGCACAGAGCCCACCCAAGACCTCCCGGGGAACGACCAGCCGGAATTCGGTTCTGAGATTTCGCGGACGACTCCGGCTTCCGGCGGAAGTCCTGCCCACCGGCGCGCCTACGCGTCCGTGGCTTTTCGCCGATCGTTTGTTCCAGCATCTGTCGCTCCGCGCCAGCGTCTCTAGTTTCTGACGTGGCGTTAGAACCTCTGCTCTCGCGAGAGGATCCACGAAAGCGTCAAATTCCCTCTCAAATCTTGTCAAGTTTTAAGAGCTTACGCTGCCGCTGAAATGGGGTTACGTTTTTACGGTCCTTCCCGTCCAATTTCACATTGAATGGTGTTAGCTACCCTCACCCTTAGGTGAAGGCTCTATACCGCGGGTGATCTGTTTACACAGATCCGAGCAGGCAAGGAAATGCCTTTTAGGTTTAATCTTTATCTGCTCCTGGGCCCCACAGCTTGCTTTCAACTTGGCAAATACGGGTTTTATAGTGGTGAAACAAGAAAAATTACTGGTACTGTTTCAGTGAGCTGTATAAATGTTAGAAATTTGACCGTACACCTTTTTAAACTTCAGAAGATCACCTTCTACTCTATAATTCATTATTTTTTGCATACCTTAGGTTAATTGCAAAGCACTATTTCTGCATTTCCGTTCATCCAACAGAACACACCTTCATTCCTGTTTTAGTAGTGGTTGCTTATTCCACACCAACAAAGGCACTTTTCATAAAACCGGGCAAGGTAAGATAAGTGTTTTCTATTACAGATGAAAAAACAAACTAGACAAACACCCCCCTCCCCCCCCCCACCCAAAAGCTTGAGTCTCACTGAGGTTAGGTAATTTGCCAATTCAGGCTAATGATGGCTGAGCATAGATATCCAGCTGGTCCGTGTGGAAGCCCCTGACTTTTCTCCATCCCCTCAATCCCCGCCTCTCAGTCATCCTTGTAGTTTCTTAGTACCAGATTAGTTTGGTACTGATGTAAATACGTAGGTCTTACTTCTTAAAGTATACATGATTCCTGTAAAAAGAGCTTCATGCAATGACCAACAAAACAGAACAGGGATGAAATGAAACTAAGCTTTAAAATACCTAGTTTGCCTGCTTTAGGATTTTGCTTTTATACTTCAGCTCCATCATAAAAACTCAAATACTTCTTTTCAGAAAATCAACATTTTACATATACATATGGAAAAAGTGGGAATGAACAAGGTAGTCTGAGGTTAAATATATGCAGTAGCCTATTTACCATAGGGTTTTCTTAGACCTACCTAATTGCAGACAAAAAGACCCAATATTAAAATTGGTTATATTTCCTGGCTCATAAATACTAAGGGAGTTAATGATGGAGCTGATATTTTTGAGTGTCATTGTATGCTAGATTAATAACTTCTATTTAACTCTACACTATTGTTGAAATATCCTACAAGGAAAAGATGGTGGGAAGGGAGACAGCAATATTGTTACTGCACTGATGATTAAAGAAACAGTGAGTGAATCCAAAGTTTTAAAATGCTAGTGCTTGTGGAACAGCAAGCATTAGCAAGCAAAAGGTTGGTTTAAAGGGGAATGATGTTGGACGTGGAAATGAAAATGATGAAAGGGCTTTAGAGATTGAGGCACTGGTTTTCAAATCTAATTTTTATCAAACTGTCTTCCTTTTCCTTATTAAGATGTGCCACTAAATTCAGCCTGTCAACCTTGGTTGAGGCTTCTGGGTAGGGGTTGGGTGGAAAGAGAAGACCAACGTGGGCAAGAGAAGTTTTCCAAAATGGTTGAATAAGAATTGGAAGTAGGAGGAAGGGATGAAAGAAGAGGTCTGATATATATGTGTGTGTGGGCAGGAGGGGACTGGCAGAGATGTAAGTAAGATGATTTGTGAGCTTTGACAGAAAAAGTGATAAGGGGAAGAAATGGTGGATTAGATAATATCTGTGCTACAAATCACTTGATGGCTTCTATTGCATCCAACAAGGACATTTTGAGAAGCTGTGCCAGCTACTCTGAGAAGTGTTAGGGATACAGATAAAAATAATAAACTAACTCTTGCTCAAGTTTCTCACAAGTCTAAGGGGTGAGACTGTGTATACCAGGGCTATCCAAGCCTGCACTGAGCCCATGAGAGTACTCAGGCACGCTTGGGTATGGCTAACTAATGGTTTGGTCTGCCTGCTTCACTTGTATATTATGATGTAACAAAACACCCTAAAACTTAGTGCTTTAAAACAATAACTTATTTGCTAACAAAACTGTAGTTTGGGTAGAGCTCAGCTGGAATAGCTTATCCCTATTCTATATGGCATCTGCTGGAGCTAGAAAATCCCAAGTGACTTCTTCACTCCTATATCTCTGCCTCAGCTGGTATGGCTGAAACAGCTAAAGGTTGGCCAGTACCTTCCTCTTTCTGTGGTGTAGCCTTTCCATATGGCTACGCTGAACTTTGACAAAGGCTCTCTCCTTGGTGCACTTGGGTGGTTCAGTTGGTTAAGTGTCTGCCTTTGGCGCAGGTCTTGATCTCAGGGTCCTGGGATCAAGTCCGGTGTAGGGTTCCCTGCAAGGCGGGAAGCCTGCTTCTCCCTCTTCCTTTGCCCATACCCCTGCTCGTGCTCTCTCTCTCTCTCAAACAAATACATAAAAATCTTAAAAAAAAAAAAAGGCTCTCTACTTGACCAAACCTTAGGTAGGATCCTCTGAACTCTTATCTTGACTAGGCCTTGACTTTGGCCCATGCTCTATCTTCTGCCTGCTAGCCCAATTTTAGCAAGAATACTGCTATATTAGGTATATTTGTTAGGGTTCTCCAGGGGGCAGAACTATAGCATATATATATATAGATATATGAGATTATTATAGGAATTGGCTCACACCATTATGGAGGCTGCACTATGCCACAATATGCTATCTGAAAGCTGGAGAACCAGGAAAGCTGATGGTATAAATCAATCTGAGTCCAAAAGCCTAAGAACCAGGAAAGCTGATGGTGTAAGTCCAAAAGTTAAGATATCTGAGATCAGATATTGGAGGGCAGGAGATAGAGGTCCCAGTTCAAGAAGAGAGAGAAAAATTTGCTCTTCCTCTACCTTTTTGTTCTATTTGGACTCTCAACAGATTAGATGATGCCTGACCATATTGGTGAGGGCAGATATTCTTTACTCAGTCTTCTGATTAAATGCTAATCTCTTCTAGAAACAAATTCACAGGCACACCCTGAAATGTTTTCACAGCTATCTGGGCATCCCTTAGCCCAGTTAATTTGACACAGAAAATTAACCATCACAGTAAATGTGGTAAGTGTTCCCCCTTACCCTTGTTATTTGATCACCCTCAATATCTGATCAAATTCCTCATTCCTCATCTCTGATATGTAAGTCCTTGGCCTGTCTTCAACAAGAATTTACCCTCAATAATTGTCTATCTACTCATGCCCTCATTCTGTTCTTTGGTTATAAATCTCCAACTGTCTTTGCTGCATTTGGAGTTGAGCTGATCCCTCTACTCTACTGCAATATCCCTATTGGAATATCCCCCCAGTAGGGATATTGCAGTAGTCTTGAATAAAGTCTTCCTTACCATTTCACCAAGTGTCAGAATAACTTTTTCTTTAGCAACTTCTTCATAGCATAGTAATTTCAGAACTTCCTACATGGTGGCTGGCTTCCTGCAGATCACACAATAGAAGCTACCAGGCCTTTTTAATGCCAGGTCTTGTAACTTCCTCTACATTTTATTGGTCAAAGCAGTCACAGGGCCAGCTCAGTAATGGGCTCATATTGTGAAAAAGCATGTGGAATGGCAGATATTATGCCATCTTTGAAAATATTATCTACCATAATGTCAGAAGTCAATCTTTCTTTCTTTTTTTCTTTCTTTCTTTCTTTCTTTCTTTCTCTTTCTTTTTCTTTCTTCTTTCTTTCTTTTCTTTCTTTCTTTCTTTCTTTCTTTCTTTCTTTCTTTCTTTCTTTCTTTCTTTCTTTCTTTCTTTCTTTCTTTCTTTTCTTTCTTT